CCAGGCCAGCAGCCGCAGTGGCGCTCCCGGCCCTCCCGCGCCGAGCCTCGCTCGGCTGGCGGGCGAGCCGCTCCTGGGGCGGGGCCGACCTGGGCGAGGGGCTGGGCATCCTCCGTGCTCACCGAGGTGGGGACTCGTAATCGACGGCGCGGACAGCGCCATCGACAGCACGGAGCTGAGCGGCCTGGTTTCCTCAAGATCTCCCCCGTCGCCCGTGAGCGCTACGAGGCCGCCTGCGCCGACGTGGTGCGCTCTCTGGGCCGCGACGCCCCGAGTGCCAAGAGCATGGGCGCTTGGGGCCGCGCCCTCGAGAGCTACGTCGGGAAGCTCCACCGGGCGGGGGGCCGCGCCGCGGTCGCGAGGTACGATTTCCACGGGGTCGCCCTCGTCAACGAGTGGCCTCGGCGGGACCCCCCTTTTGCCTCGCTCGAGGCTCGCTTTGCTGGGGTTCGCCCGCTCCTCGCCCGAGCACTGCCGAGGCCCGCCGTGCATGGGGCAGGTCTACTTGGCCATCGACTACTTCATCGGCCGGGCCGCTGGCGACGACCTGCTCCTGTGCGCCATGGCCGCCGCTCACGCCTGGATCAGCGTGGACTGCTATCTCTGGCCCTCAGAAGGGCTGGCGCTGGTGGGCGTGGCGGTCAGCCGGCCGCGGCGTGGGGCCGCCGCGCAGGGCTGGGCTCTGACGATCGCCCCCCGCGGCGGCCCGCCGGCCAAGAACAGACGGTTCGATGCCAGCGTGGTGGTCGGGGCCCACGACAGGGCCTGGGCTTGTGACTTGCTGGAGCTGCTAGTCTGCGACCTCCCAGCGGACAAGCCCCTCTTCCGAGCCCTCGCGCTGCGCAGCCTGGAGCGGCTCTACAGAGAGATGAGCGAGGCCCTGGACTTCCCGATGGTCGCCCATGGTCTGCGCCATGCCAGGCCTAGCCACGACTCCTTGGTGCACAAGTCCTCGATTGAGGACATCCAGCAGCGGGGTCGTTGGGTGTCGCTCGAGAGCTGCCGCTTCTACACGAAGGCAGCCAGCTTGGTGCGCTCGCTGGCCCGAGTCTCAGACGCTCTCCTGCGGCGGGCGGCGCGCATCCGTCCACAGCTCTCAGAGCGCCTGCTGCAGGTGGTCAGTGAGGCCCTCGCTGTCGCTCGGCGTGCCGGGAATCCTGGCAAATCTAAACGAGGCCGGAGATGAGGTCAGCTCTTCTCCGGCAATCTTCGGGGTTCTGCTGCCCCTCAGGCACTCCTCGCGGTGTCCGCGAGCCGGCTCAGTAAACAAGCGCCCTCTCGTCGACGTCTGCTCTCTTCGTCGTCAGAGGCTAAAGGCAGGTTCTGGATTTTGTTGTGCTGTGTCTGGGCCGAAGCACGTTTCCCAGGGGATGTGATTTGTGCCTGCGCGGTATATCCCTCATCATAGTGCCCTCTTCCTTCCTTCTTTCTTTCGCCCCCCCCCCTTGTGTGTCCTCGACGATGTTGTGCCACTGACCTACGCTAGCCTCCTGTGCGCTGCTGGGGTCCAGTAATTTGGCAAATCTAAACGAGGCCGGAGATGAGGTCAGCTCTTCCCCGGCAATCTTCGGGGTGCTGCTGCCCCTCAGGCACTCCTCGCGGTGTCCGCGAGCTGGCTCAGTAAACGAGCGCCCTCTCGTCGACGTCTGCTCTCTTCGTCGTCAGAGGCTAAAGGCAGGTTCTGGATTTTGTTGTGCTGTGTCTGGGCGGAAGCACGTTTCCCAGGGAATGTGAACAAAATCATGTGCATGTATCTGCTCGTGTATATGTATATCCATAGGTACAGGTCTATATATATATACATATATATATATATATATATATATATATATATATATATCCGAATATGCATATGTACATGTATATGTATACGGTAGTGTAGGTACGTGTGTATATATACCATATATTATTGTATATGTATACGTATAGGCAAATGTATACGTGATGGTACATCTGCATGTATGTGTATGTGTATATGAATGTGTATATGTATATGCGTATGTATATGCATATGCTTGTGTACATGTTTGTGATCATACACGTGTATATGTATGTGTGCAGGTTCATGCATATGTATATGTTTATGGATATGTATACAAACACTGGCATACGTAGATGCATAGGTGTACGGGGATGTGCGTGTGCTTATGCACATGTTTGTGTATACGTATTTATATATATATATATATGTATTTGTTTATGTATTTGTATAAGGTTATGTTAATGTATATGTATGTGTTTGTGTATGGTTATGTATAGGTGTACGTTTATGTACATGCACATGTATATGCATATGTCTATGCATGTGTATAGATACATGTACATATATTTATATATATATGCATTTGTATATGTCTATTGTCTATTTATCTGGAATTGCATATGTTTTTGTATACGTTTATATACATGTACATATACATGTGCATATACACGTATATGCACACGTACTTGTAATTGTATATGTACACGTGTACGTATATGTATATGTACACGGATATGTATATGTGCATGTTTGTGTGCATGTGTATGCCTGTGCTTATGTTCACGAATCGTATATAGGTTCATGTGTATGCATATGTTTGTATATGTATATGTATATGTATATGTATATATGTATATATATATATGCATCTTATTATGTATATGTATGTGTGTGTGGGTGAGGGAGTTCCCGCGCTGAGTATTTTTTCTGATTCCGCCTTGTCGAGCTGGCAGTGTCCAAGGAGTGCTTCGAATGTGAACGCGTCTGTGAGGGCCACTCCAGGATGACCGCTCTAGGACTCCTCGCAAGGGCCAGCAGCGGCGGCAAAGGACGCCAAAGGACGGTTTTTAGGGGTAGCCACTGGTTCAGACTGAAAGGTTGTTTTTGAACCTTCGTCCGTCCGCTCATCATTTTTTTGAACTGCTGTGGGTCAAGTCTGGCAATCATCTCTGCCTATCCGTTGTCATAGGTTTCACATGCACTTTTGGATGGTTGTTCGCGTTCGGGATTAATCAAACCATTCAGCCTACGTGCCCCCTCCAAGTATGAAGTAACGATGCAGTTGCATGCTGACGCTTGACGCCGGGCTTTGATTGTTGCGTTTCGTTGCGTTCCGTGCAGCAGAAGCAGAGCCCCATCGTTCAGCTGATTTTCGCCGACGAGGTTGGCATCCCGTTGGATCTTTCAAGATATTCAATGTTTGCTCCCGCCGAGCACCAGCCGTTACTTTCACCCTCAAGTCGGCCTTGCTGTTGTCTTCAATGCTGTCTTCAGGACGGTATGCTGACATCATGCGTCTGCGATGGGGTGATCTTTCAGCGGCGACGTGAGAAAAGGGGGGCGCCACGCGCTTGAGCGGCCGACCGTAGTCGTGCACACAGGCCCAAAGACGGCTCGAGGAGGAGGTGCCCTGGAGTCGCGCAGCTCTGCTGCCCTCAGCGCTTCACCATGCCAGGCCCGCCCAGCACTCGCGGCTACCGTTCCGGTGCTCCCTGCTCTGTTGCAGGCCGACGAAGATTATACAGGGGGGCTCCGTGGTACTTCCAGGAAGCATGAGGAGCACGAGGGGGAGGAGGAGGAGGAAAAATAGGAGCTCCTTTTGTCGGCCGGACGTTGTTTTGAAAGGGGGGAGACAGTCATGGGATGAAGAGAAATGCAACTTTCCAGGACTCTCTCGAGCAAGGGAGGCAGTTTACGGGCCCCCGAGGCGCCCTCAGAGCCACTTTCCTGCACTCGTCGTTCGCTTCTCCGTCAGCTGCCCCGCCCCCCCCCCGCCCCTCCCTTCCCCGCCTCCCCCGTAAGGTCCACCCGGCTCTCGTCCTCTCGTGGTGTCCTTGCCCCCCTCCCCCTGCGCGCTCGCCCTCCTTCCCGCCTCCTCGATCCTCGTCGTTCCCCCCCCGCGTTTCTAGTGTTGCGGCCACGTGGTGGTGAGTCACGCAAGCAGCAACATTGATTAAGCTTGATGAAACCTCCCTCCCGCCGCTCCCCCTCCCCCCCCTCCCTCTCCCATTCACGTGGCCTCCCCCTCCCTCTCTCCCCCTCCCTCTCCCCCTCCCCCTCGTCCTTCTCCCCTCCCCCTCCCCCTTCTCCCTCCCCCCCCTCGCCTGCACGTGGCTTCTGCCCCGCGCGCATGCACGCGCGCGCGCGACCGCCTCGGCTCCGTCGTCGCTCGCCGCATCCTTGCCGTCTTCCCTCTCGCGCCCTGGCTGGGGTGGGGGCCGCCCTTCGCGCTCTTCGGTCGTGTCGCGGTCGGAGGCCTCTGCTGGGGACGCGGCCCGGCCCCTTCCCCCCGTCGTCTGCCACGTAACTGCTCCGACCCCGGCGGCTTCGCGTGTTCGTGCAAGTAGGTCGCCGGGCTGGGTGGGGCTGCTCCTTTGGTTCTCGTTCGGCCTCTTCCATATCGTCCTCTTCTGAGGACCGTCCCGCCAGCTGTTTGTCTCGGCAGACGGCTGCGCCATGCCTCGTCCGTCGTCCCGAGCCATTCCCGAGACTGCAGTGGAGGCCTCACATGTGTTGAGTGCGCTCCTGAGTGCCTCCGCGCCAAAGCTTTGGCTGCGCACCTGAGCGCGCCAGGTGCTGGGCAGGCTGGCTGCCTGCGCCCCTCACCAATCTCCCCCGTTCTGGAGGTCGCCGTGGCGGCGGCGCGCGCCACATGAAGCCGATGCCGCCTCTGTCTCACCGCACCAGCTCTTTGCAGTGCTGCGTAGGCCAGGAAACGTGGCAGGACCCGCCGCCAGCGGGCCTCGCTAGACACGCCCGCGGCGACATTTTTGTGTCGCCTGGCGTGCCTGGAGGCGAGCTCCAGCCCCGCTCTGGGTCGAGCCCCGCTGCTTTCCTCTCCCGGTGCACGGCCCGGCAGCGCCTTGCAGGGCGGGCGGGAATTTTTGGGTGTCTCCGCTGTGCGGGCGTCCGCCTCTCGCGTCTTCTCCTCTGCCTGGGAGGTTCGGAAAGGCGCAGGAGGACCCGGATGAGCCCGCTCGAGGTCCTGCCTCGCCGTGCGCGGGGCGCGCGCGCGGAGGTGTTGCTGGTGTGGCTCCCTGAGCTGCTCCACGGGTGGCTCCACGAGTGGCTCCCCGACAAGCCTGGCGACCGCTGGTTGCCGCCCCCCTTTTTGAGAGGAGGACGTGGAGTATGAGGGAAATGGGCGGGATGGGCAGAAGGAGCGTATCATGGGAGGAGCGAGAGCTGGTCATGGGAGTGGGGGGAGAACAGCCCATGAACGGGTGGCATGGGAGGTAGCAGTGGCCGGGGAGGTGGAGAGGCGGACGTGGGAGGAGGGGTTGGAGAAGGCACGCGGGGGGATAGACAAGTCGAGGTCAGAGTCTGCCACAAATGAGCCTCAGCGTGTATCAGTATTGCCTTGGGATCCTCCGGACATGGTGTGTTCTACGACAACCACGGCGGCGTTCGTCCTTTGTGTGTCGCCAGAGCAAGTGTGGGAAGTCGGTCAGAAGATGTAGTTGCCGATGAGGATCATGAAGGGTGCATGTTGCACTCATCGTGTCTGATTATGCAATTGCCCGATGGCGTCCGATAACGAGCCCCGCAAAACATATCCGATGCACTGGCGGTGAACCTCTCCGTTCTGTGCCCTAGTGCAGAGTCTGCAAGGCACTCGAGGCCCATCATCGGTGCAAGCGTAGACTTCGAAGAGTGCTTCCTGAGACCGCCGCGTCTTCTGTCCTCTTTCATCCCTGTATCCTAGGGCCTGTTTAGATCCGATCGACCCGATTCGATATCGATTCTGGCCAGCGCGATCCGAAGGGATGCCGATGTTCCGACGATCCGACACGGCCCGATAGTTGCAGAGGCGCTGTTGTGCATCTTGGCGCGGCCGATTCGATTCGGCATCGGTGCCGTGCCGATGCGGCCCGATCCAAGCACGTTCCGATTCGATCGGATTTCACGATCCGATGCTGAGTGTCGATGATCGCCAGGACATGTGTTAGCCTCGTTTGCCACAGTCAGCTCCACCGATAGCACGCAGCCCGTGCCGGCCCTCAGGACGCTGCTTGCGCTGCGTTGAAGGGCTTCGGTGGAGAAGCTCACGTGTGCTTTGGGGATCATCGAGGCTGATCCTGCTCTCGTCCACCTTCCCTCGCCACTCTCTCCCTCCGTCCCCCCGTGCCCCCTTCATGCTCTCGCGCAGGCTGCAGCAGGAGGACATGGCGCTGCTCTGTCTCTTCGGCCGCTAGAGCCAGAGAGAGAGAGAGAGAGAAGGGATGGAGGCAGCGAAGGTGAGGAGAGTGAGTTGGATGAGGAGCCCTCCCACCTCCCCTCCCCTTCCCTTTCTTCCTCCTCTTCTCCCCCGGGTGAAGTTGAAAAGGACCAGGGCGCGCGGCACTGGCTCTAGCCTCCGATCAGCAGGAGCGCGCCAGCGCTGTCGAGAGAGAGAGGTCTCGAGAAGGTGAGCGTGCCGCCAGCGCCCCCCACGGCGTCAGGTCTGGCGGCCCGCCCCCCATTCTGGCGATCCTTCTTCCCGGCTACTTTATTAGTGAATTTAATTGGTTTTAGGGTTTTAACGAATGGTCGCAGCCACGCGGAGGGCGTGCGTAGCGACGCCCCAAATGCTCGGTCTCCAGTACTTCTACGTGGCGGCGCCCCCGCAGGCACGCAGAGGGCGCGCGTGGCGACGGGGGCGTCGCCACGCAGAGCTTCTAAAGACCAACCATTTTGAAAACCATGTTTCCACCACTAAAGTACCCGAGGGGAGAGAAGTGGGGGGGGGGGAGGCGGGGGATGGTGGGTGGATGACCCCCCTCACGCGGTGTGTCAGAGCGTGCGCAGCCGCAGGCGGTTGTCGCGGGTGCTGCGAGGTTTCTGGAGGTGTTCGGAGGCTCGGGGGGGAGGGGAGGGTAGGTGTCGAAGAGCAGGGGCGGGATGCCGGGTGCCAGGGCAGGGGAGAAGCAGGGGCAAAGGGGAGCGGCAGAGGGGGTCGGAGGGGAGCAGCAGAGCAGGAGGAGCTAGAAGAGCCGTCGCTCGGAGACGTGGCCAGGTCAGGTCGGCCTCAGGCTGGAGCCCCTGGCATTTAGAAACCCTTCGGTTGCGGCCGCGGCTCCACGACCAAAGGCCAGCCGAACAGCCCGGGCCAGTGGGGGGAGGAGCGTGGGCACTGAGGAGCGGCAGAGGGGGCCGTTGGGGACGCCCTCTCCGTTCCTCCCCCCCCGCAGAGGAGAAGGAGGAGGAGGAGGAGGAGGAGGAGGAGGAGGAGGACCAGTGTAAACCTAAGAATCATTAACGACGTTGGAGTAAACCCTCCCTCCGAGCTCCCTCTTCATAAGCCTCTACAAATAATCACTTCCGTCAATGGAACTGCTTCGTTGGAAGACACCCGTTGAAGACCCTGAAGTCTGCCAAAACATTGTTCTCGGGATTCCAACGCCACGGATCAACCTGATTGTTGCGTCTTGACGATCCTGACTAATGCTAGAGCGCCATTCTTAGAACTTCAACGCAGAGAATCAACGTAACTGTTGCACCCACATAATCCTGAATCCTTCCCACTCACAATTTCTGGTGTTTTGATGAGAATCCGTGCAACTCTTGCAACGTTTAAACGAATGTGCGCGGCGCTAAGGCGAAAACCACATTTTGAACACCACCTGCCCTTACTCCGTGAAGCTCTTGCAAACTTTTAATACGAATGTGCGCCGCGCTGAGGCGAGAGCCATATTCTGAAAACCACTCGTCCTCAATTCGTGGAGCTGTTGCATTTTTTAACGACTGTGCGCCGCGCTAAGGCGAGAGCCACATTTTGAAAACCCCGCCCTCAATCCGTGAATCTCTTGCACATTTTCAATGCGAATGTGCGCCCCGCTGAGGCGATAACCACATTTTGAAAACCACCCGCCCTCAATCCGTGAAGCTCTTGCAATCTTCTAGACAGAGAGTGAGAGAGAGCGAGAGTGTGCGCCGTGCTAAGGCGAGAGCCACATTTTGAAAACGACCCGCCCTCCATTTGTGCAACCGTTGCAACATTCTAAGCCTCAGAGTCATACGTTGTGAGGAAGTCTCAAGCGAAACTCCTGGCCCGCCCTGGAAAGTTGCCTCGGGGTGCGACAGGGAGAAGATGTTTATATGGGAAAATGGATGAGGAGGAGGGGGAGGAGGAGGAGGAGGAGGAGGAGGAGGATTAGGAGGAGGAGGAAGAACGGAGGAGGAGGAGGAGGAGGAGGAGGAGGAGGAGGAGGAGGAGGAGGAGGAGGAGGAGGAGGAGGAGGAGGAGGAGGAGGAGGAGGAGGAGGACGAGGCGGAGGAGGAGGAGGAGGAGGAGGAGGAAGATCGGAGTATCGGATCCCTGACCAGTGTTGGTTTTTCATTTAGGCCGATGCATCTGCGCTTCGTTTCTTTCCGCCGCCCGACTTGTCTCGCCGCGGTCGCGATCAAGAAGTATCCCCACCAGCTTTCTCTGCCTGCTGTCCGCCTCTCCTGCTCGTTCTTATTCTTTGCTCTTCGCCCTCCTCTTCCGTTGCGCTAATTTAGGTCGTCGCCCGTATGCAATATCCTGGACGCCGCTCGATTCTGCCTCGCCGCGGTCGCGAGCAAAAAAGTATTCCCACCAACGGCCCTTAGCGTGCCTTAGCGTGCCGTCGCGCACTGTTTTTCTCTTCGCTACCGGCGCGGCCCGCCGTAGCAGGCTCGGCGTTCGACTCGTTTCGCGCGCCCGCGGACCAAAAGGATCCCCACCAGCCAACCCCAGAAACGATGCCCATGAGAGCTGACGAGGGGAAAGAGGAAGCGACACGCATAGTCAAACAGCGGGGGAAGCCGGCCTGGACAGCGTCTTGGGGCCATCTTCGGGCCCGCGTGTGTGGGGAGGACGAAGAGGAAGAGGAAAAGGAGGAGGAGCAGGAGCAGGAGGACGAGGAGCAGGACTTGGAGGAGGAGGAGGGAGGAGGAGGAGGAGGAGGAGGAGGAGGAGGAGGGAGAGGAGAGAAGGAGGAGGGAGGAGGAGGAGGAGGAGGAGGAGGAGGAGAGGAGGAGGAGGAGGAGGATGAGGAGGAGGAGGAGGAGGAGGAGGAGGAGGAGGAGGAGGAGGAGGAAGAGGAGGTGGAGTAGGAGGAGGAGGCAGGAGGAGGCAAGAGGAGCAAGACGAGAAGGAAGACGATGGTGAGGAGGACGAGGACAAACGGAGTGAGGAGGAGGAGGAGGAGGCATCTTGAGGCCTCGGAAGGCCATCGACAGCAAAAAGGCAAGAAGGTTGAAGGATGTTGGCCTCTTGGCGGCCTCCTGGGGAGGCCCCGTGGCCATCTTAAGTCGCCTTGGAGCGGTTTCGGGGACTCTTGGGGCATCTTGGGACCATCTTGAGCCAGCGTGGACTATCTTGAGGCATCTTGGAGGTCATCATGTGCTCTCTGAGGCCCCTCGGGGGCCGCTCGGGGGCCTCTTGGGGGCCTCCCGGGTGCCTTTTGGAGGCCTCTTGGGGCCTCTTGGGGCGCTCGTGGGACCTCTGGGGAGCTTCCTGGGAGCCCTGGAGGGCCTCTTGGGGCCATCTTGGAGGCGGTCGGTCAAAGAGTGGGGGTACTAGATTTGCGCCCCCCCTCGGGGGCCACGATCCTCGTGATGTGGTTGCAAACATAACCCTCCCAATGGCAGACAAACTAGCCTCCGACACATCGTGACCCCCTCCCAAAAAAGTTCAGAGAGGGGAAGGGGGAGGGTTTCCCTCCCCGAAGGGATGAGGGGTTGTGGAAAAGGAGAGAGACCCTCGTTAGACCACCTGTCGCCCAAAAGGCTGGTGGGACTACCACACACGCGCTCCGATTTCACGGAGAAGCGAGACGACATGGATGAGCACGCGCACGCATTGAAAGACGAACTTCACAAACAACCTCGGCTGGCAAACACAACCTCCCAGAACAGAGCGTATGTGAAAGGTCATAGACTAGCCAGGAATTTATATAAGCAGCAAGCCGTGCACCTGGAAGCCATAACCGGTCAACAGAGATTGTGAAACGTCACGGCCCACCACTTGGAAACCTCATGGACAAACGGCTTGGGGCGACCCCTTCACCTTGGACGTGCCTCATATTCCTCGGCGTTTCCGCACGTGGGATAGGTCTCCAGAGCGTGACATTGAACGGTGAATCAGTACCAGCCACCTCGAGCAGCCGCACACATGTGAGAACAACACTGACCACGGGCGGCCCCGACCCGGAAAAACGCGTGCCACCATGCGGATACATAAATCGAAGCAGAATTGAATAAGACACGGAAGCGCAGGCATGTTCTTCAGATCCTGTGGGTACCCCTCGAGCGCCAGAACTACAACTCCTCCCCAAGCCCAGCGCATTGCAAGCTGTACTCAAACGAACTCGTCCCGTCTCGCCATGCGACAGCCGCTGCAACGACAACGCCGCGGCAGGAGACGGAGCTCCCCGAGCGTCACGTGAAGGCACTGGACGCGACCCGGTGCCCATCGCCAAGCCAGGTGCTACGGATGGGACCCGGGCCGCATGTGCTTGTGCCAAAATAG